CGAATATACTGAGTGTGCCTTTTGTGTGAGATATATATCAATACCAGTAGTCTTAACGAATTGCTAAAATTTCCGCAAAGAATTTAATCAATGTCGTTTATTGTTCAGCAATTCTCGACTTCAATAATTAATATTTTTCTCAAATACGAAATCTTTATCTTAAGATATTAAGTAATAGGATTCTCCTCTTCCCCCCTCCCTTTACTACTTCTCTCCGCTTCGGAAGTTTAAATTAGTTGAATTTTAATGTTTAATATAATTATTGTTTCAATTATTCCCTCTTTTACTAAATCGATTAAATGCAAAAAAATAATATACCGATATAAAATTTTGGGAGCGTGTATATATACGTCCACTTGTTATTAACTATTTATTATGTATATACAAAATGGTTCGTAATGATCATCTTTCTGATCTCTGAATATCTAAAAATACATAATCAAACCATAATATTTTAAAAATATAAAAATAAAATCAATAATTAGTTTTCTATCAATAATAATAATTTACATATGTACATATATACGTACATACATACATACATACATACATACATACATATATATATGTAAATTATTATTGTTGATATAAAACCTATTATTGATTTTATTATATATACTTGTATATCTTCACAAAATACAAGAGAAAGATAGACAGCAACTCAGAATCATTCTGTGTATACTATATACACTCTCTCTTTAATGTAGCATATGTACTATACACTATCTTGAATATCGATCACAGGTCTTGGACGGAACAAGTTCCGTGTTGAATTTAAAATGGCAAAGAAGCATCAACAAAATCATATTCGTTAACTGCCATCACTTTGCCTTCATCTGTAGATGATAAAAAAATTTATAGTACTACCAAATGAATCGGATTTCTAATTTCACATTTTTCTAACTTGCTCCAATTAATTTAATAAACTTGAACTAAAAAATGAAATACACAATTATTTTGTATTTACATTATATTATATCCAATCAATTCTAAAAAAAAGGTTTTTTAAAAAGATAAATTATTTTAATTAAGGGAAATCAAATTAATCATTTTACTTTTTATAAAATGATTTTTAATGTCAATCTGTTTCATTTGTTGTTACTATAACGATTTAAGGAATGTAATTATGCATCTGCGACATTGTAGCATTCAGCTTGGCTCTTCCTCGCATATGTTGCCACAAGACGCGCATCACGCAACGTCTCCGAGTAGCTGTGTGTATACGTGTGTGCGAGACAGCCGACTCTCGTGTGTGTCTTTTTGTTTTGGGGTTGTTTTCTTTTTTTTGAGGGGAAGGGATGGGAATGAGTGGGTGAGGAAAATTTATTTCTTTACTTCTCACATATAGTACTAATAGTATTTCTGCGCAGCTCGACAGAATTCCTTTCCATTGTCAAGAGCCGCGACGCAATGTCAAGGCGCGTCGAAAACGAAAGCAGCAATCTTGAACTTCAAGCTTGCTTGCCGAGAGTATGCCCCGTAAGAGTGTGCAGTGCAAAGTGTAATGCGGTGTTGTCTGTGCGTGTTTGCAACGCGGAATCGAAACAACGATGATTTGTAGTCGGCGTTCCTCGTTCCCGGTCTTGATCAGCGCCAGCTAAATCACCTATCGAAAAATCAGCGGGGTATCGGCTCCGCATTCATAGAGCCGGAGGGCATACAAGGGGCGATATAATCGTGCGGAGAGTGGTTGGACGATGGGGTAACAAAGAAATTCAGGGACTTCGACATGAGAAATTGACAAGACGACGACGACAACGACGCGACTTTTTTACGCCTCCTGCTCTTCTTCTTCCTCGTCGTCATCTACTCCGACGCACTTGGGACACACCGGTTGTCCTTCCATTGCATAGAAGGACTTTCCAGAGACCGGCTTCTTGCAATCCTGTAATTGTCAGAGTTTAGTGTCTTTCGCGATTTTTTTCTCTGCAATTTTTCGCGTTTTCTAGGCTACGCATGAAGGGGAAAGGAAAACACCAATGGACTCTCGTAAAACTTGTGCTGAAAATAAAACTTTGTGATATAAGATTGACAAATCGTGCGAATGCGATACCTACCCTGCAGACGAAACAATCCGGGTGCCACTGGCTGTTGAGTGCAGATATGTAATTTTCCATAATGGCGCGATTACAACCGCCGCATTTAGGAGCGAACATGTCGAAGTAGTCCTCGCGGCAGTAAGGCTTACCGTCTCGCTCGTGGAAGCCCTCTTCGCCGAACTGCTTGCCGCACTGAGCGCAGAAGAAATGCTCGGTGTGCCAGGTCTTCTCCAGGGCGGTCACGCATTTCTAGAAAAAATCTTTTTTGCAACTGCGAATTTGCTTGACGAAATATTTAGGGGACTGAAGAAAAAAAGTATAGATCGTCAAGTAAAGATTATCGACCGTTTTAGAGTAAATTTGCTCGTGTTTGAATTGAACAATGATTAATTAATTTTCTCCTTTCTCTTTGCTTGTATCATAATTGGTATGATCTAGAAAAAGAAATTCCATTCAATTAAAACTTCAAGTTGATGAATTAATCAGATATTCTGCAGTTATTTTAGTGTTAAAAATTGATATATTGAGTTCATGAACGAGTTGATCAAGTTCAAACTTGACAAATTTATTGTCTCGTTGTCCTATGAACGTCAAGAGATGAAAAATTAAATTCGAGGATACATGAAGAGGGATGAGGATTTATATCGAGTCCTCTTTATTACTCTTTCTCTACCAACGTTCCTCATCTCGATCGTATCTGTAGAATCCACCATTATGACTTATACTTTTTCCCTCAAGAAAACTCTTAGAATGATTTTAAAATCCTTACATCGAGAATGGGCCCGTTGCAGTAAGCGCAACGGGGTGAGAACAAATTGTGATAGTCCGTCTCGCAGTAAGGATGGCCCTCTCTTTCGAAGAAGTTTCGCGTCCCTAATTCCTGGTTGCAGTGGGTACACGTAAAATGTTCGGGATGCCACGTTTTGCCCAAAGCCGTTATCACCTGCGTAGATACAATGTTATCAAATCAGAGAGAATGAGAGAATATCCAATTGTCGGGATCGGCTTTCAAGATGTAGCTGACGGCTACCTGACCCACGATGGGCTTCTCGCAGGCGTTGCAGCATCCCTTCTGAGTAGTATTGACACCTTGGCGGCTCATGTCAGCCTGAAGATTACCAAGCATAGAATCCAACTGGTTTTGCTTGAGGGGCTGGCTCTCCCCCGGTTGATAGAGATGAGTTGTGTGGGTCTCGGTGATGTGGACACGGGTCTGCGTGCCCTCGCCGATGGGCAGTGGACTCTGCGAGCTTTTGGTAGCCTTGTTGGGCTTCGCGTACGGGGAGTCGGTTACTGTCTGGTGCTGATGAGTGCTGTTGATCTGCAATGATATGCGAATTGTAGGATCGAGTGTGTAAATCCAGATGTTAACCTTCCATCAGAAAAACCGAGACTGATTTCGATGTGCAATTTTGGAGATAAGAAAATAAAGTAATAAGAAGTTGAAAAGGCGATGTCTATTATCTTGGATCGCCGAAAGATAACAGACATCGCGGAGAAAAATTTTATCAGTTTTCAAGATTAATTTCTCGAAAAACCGGATTACACTCGTACGACAGTACTGAATCTTCGATAATGAGTTTCCCGCGTAATTCTGTATCACGTGTATCTGTATGCTTGTGTACGTAGGACAGACATGTCAAGGTGCGAAAAGATGATTCAAGGTTGAATCGCGAACGGAGATTCGACGGACAAGGTGAGAGAAAAGTGTCGATGTCGGACAGGATGTCAAGGCGCGAGTTCGCGAGATGTTGAATGAAATGGAACGAAGACCTACGGAGATGATGGTAGATAAGAAGTAAGAAGATGTCGATCGCCACGGGCGAGCTTGCAGACTGGCCGAAAGCTCCGGGTGTTTCAGCGGGTAACGTCGTCTCGCCCCACGTCGACGCCCCACCTCTTTGGTGACTTCGTCTTCACGATTCTCCCTTCTCCCGTGGTCGCGGAAAATTGGTGACGCGGAGAAAAAGGAGTGGACAGGAGGAAGGGCGCGACGGTGGTGAGGATGGTTATTTTCGTAACATGGGGAGCCAAGAATGGGCAGGAGTGGATTTAACGCCTCGGTATTTTCCGATTCCGCGGTAAATCAAAGTGGCGACAGAATCAGGGATAAGTCTGTATCTGTTTCGTTGATAACTATATGTAGATCCGTATAAGGGATGTTTTGGAATGGACGGTTTATGCCACAGAACTCTTGGAGAGACAATCGAAAAAATTATTCGTAAATCGTCTCTTACATTCTTAAAAAAAAAATACATTTAAAATGCTTTAAAGTGAGCTTTCCAAAAAAAAAAAAATATTTGTGACCATCTAAACACCATCCTATCAAAAATTAGATGAGATTTTATTAATTCCTACTATATATTTCCGATAAAATTGAATTTTAATCTTCTTTAATTTAAGTTTAATTTATTTAGGTTTATTCGAACACACAATAGATAAATCTTCCGAAATGTGCAAATTATTTGGATGTTACTTTCAGTTATCCGGTTATGTACACAATGCAGACGAGAAGCAACAAAAAATGAGATGTGCGCTAACCCTTTCGGTACGAGATTAAACGATAAAAAAAAGTGTAAACAATTTTATTCAACAATGAACTCCTGGAAGTTTCTTTGGCAATTTCGCGTTTATGATAACGTAAGAAATATCGAAAGAGTTATTCAATCTTTTGGAACGACATTTTTTTTCAAGCATTATAATGTAAAATTTTCTATCATTTTTTTTCAATATTTCAATAATTTATTAATTTGCAAATGAGATATGCAGCCTTTATCAACCGCTCCGAAAGGGTCATTCGCGTTATGTATAGCATTACACATGGTTAAGTTATGTACCTTGAATTCGGAAAGCGAAGCCATTAGATCATCCAGCTCCTTGGTAGCGTTACTCGCGGTATGACCATTAGAATAACTCCTCTGAACCTCGGTTCGACTCAGCGAGCCATGCTGACTGGAGGGATAGCCATCATAAACCGGCTGTATCTCCGTGGACGTCTCCTGTATGGTGACCCTCACCTTTCCATCGGCGGGATACTCTCTGCTCGAGGGACAACAGTTTCCGTTTTACACCGAACGCGAGTTAATCCGAGAATTGAAATCCGCCATTATAATCTCCGGTATAAAAGTTTGCGATTTTTTTATGCTGAACTCGTCGGAATCGCTATACATATAATTTCAATCCCGAAATGATTCATGCAAATCGAGAGCTAGATGTTCGTTTAAAAGCAAGCCGCTTAATATGTAGTTTACATTGTTCTAGGATTAATTTGCGCACACAAACAGAAAGCTCACCCATTAGGCACTGCGGTGCTTAGCTCTTCGAGCAACGAGTCGACGGTGGGTCGAGAGGCCGACATACTACTCGGGGAACGGAGCATGGGGCTGGTCGCGCCCCCGTTCACCCCTGTTGTGGACACGCGACTGTCTATAATCATCAAGCCATTTGTTCGATAAAAATCGCTCCTGCCGAGATCATATTTGACCCTTCCCGAAAATGGTTCGGTAATACTTTAAATTAATTCTGTTTGAAAGAAATATAATCTCAAAATATGTTTTTTTCTATCCCCTCTTATAGATAGATTGTACTCTCTTATTACAGATATTATCGTAAATTTCTGTCCGACAAATATTTTATCTATTGCATTCGATATTTTCATCAGATAGATTAACAAATTAAAAATTTATCAAAGTTGTATCGAATTGAAATAAAATAAAGAATAAGATTATTTTTGCATCTTTGAGATTTAATTCGTGAAAAGGCCTTTACTTTCCACTGTTTCAGATTTGTAAAACTTTTGGTAATTAAAAAGAGATTTATCGACCAAATTAATCGTTCGGAAAGGGTTAAGAATTTAGATAAAGAGCCAACCTCTTTCCTGAAAGTGGGCATTATAGCGCGCATTGCTCAAGTCTTGCAGGAGAGTGTCCAACTCGGAAAGATTGTTATTGAGGGAAGGCATCTTGCTCCCGGTGCCCGTCTGGGTGTAAGACGCACTTCCGGTTTTACCGATGGTTTCCTCTATCGCCTCGCGGTTCTGGTAAGTCGGCTATAACATGCGGGCAAAGTGGCGATGAATGTTAACAGCTTCAAAGGCTTCTTCGTGAAACAGATATATACTCATCGTCTCAAAGAGATGTCGGTTTCTTTATTAATTTTTTATTGCCTCAAATGAATTTTAATGCAATCATTAATAATTTCCATTCGCTAAAAAATTTGCTCTTTCTATCTTATCTATTCAACATTCTTATTTATTTTTCATGACGCGTAAAATTTATTTCAATTTTAATATTTGATAATTCAGCTATTTCAATTTCACGTTGTATCAAGCTTAATAGCAGATATTTATTTAATACTTGATCTGATTATAAAATAATACGACGTAAATGTGACAGTAAAACGCCGAAAGCGGGTAGAAAAATTAATAGCTCTTGATGAGAGTTTCTTCGGATGAATGGATTGTACCAAGATGGCTTGAACGGCTGCTGACTGGAGGGATAGCCATCATAAACCGGCTGTATCTCCGTGGACGTCTCCTGTATGGTGACCCTCACCTTTCCATCGGCGGGATACTCTCTGCTCGAGGGACAACAGTTTCCGTTTTACACCGAACGCGAGTTAATCCGAGAATTGAAATCCGCCATTATAATCTCCGGTATAAAAGTTTGCGATTTTTTTATGCTGAACTCGTCGGAATCGCTATACATATAATTTCAATCCCGAAATGATTCATGCAAATCGAGAGCTAGATGTTCGTTTAAAAGCAAGCCGCTTAATATGTAGTTTACATTGTTCTAGGATTAATTTGCGCACACAAACAGAAAGCTCACCCATTAGGCACTGCGGTGCTTAGCTCTTCGAGCAACGAGTCGACGGTGGGTCGAGAGGCCGACATACTACTCGGGGAACGGAGCATGGGGCTGGTCGCGCCCCCGTTCACCCCTGTTGTGGACACGCGACTGTCTATAATCATCAAGCCATTTGTTCGATAAAAATCGCTCCTGCCGAGATCATATTTGACCCTTCCCGAAAATGGTTCGGTAATACTTTAAATTAATTCTGTTTGAAAGAAATATAATCTCAAAATATGTTTTTTTCTATCCCCTCTTATAGATAGATTGTACTCTCTTATTACAGATATTATCGTAAATTTCTGTCCGACAAATATTTTATCTATTGCATTCGATATTTTCATCAGATAGATTAACAAATTAAAAATTTATCAAAGTTGTATCGAATTGAAATAAAATAAAGAATAAGATTATTTTTGCATCTTTGAGATTTAATTCGTGAAAAGGCCTTTACTTTCCACTGTTTCAGATTTGTAAAACTTTTGGTAATTAAAAAGAGATTTATCGACCAAATTGATCGTTCGGAAAGGGTTAAGAATTTAGATAAAGAGCCAACCTCTTTCCTGAAAGTGGGCATTATAGCGCGCATTGCTCAAGTCTTGCAGGAGAGTGTCCAACTCGGAAAGATTGTTATTGAGGGAAGGCATCTTGCTCCCGGTGCCCGTCTGGGTGTAAGACGCACTTCCGGTTTTACCGATGGTTTCTTCTATCGCCTCGCGGTTCTGGTAAGTCGGCTATAACATGCGGGCAAAGTGGCGATGAATGTTAACAGCTTCAAAGGCTTCTTCGTGAAACAGATATATACTCATCGTCTCAAAGAGATGTCGGTTTCTTTATTAATTTTTTATTGCCTCAAATGAATTTTAATGCAATCATTAATAATTTCCATTCGCTAAAAAATTTGCTCTTTCTATCTTATCTATTCAACATTCTTATTTATTTTTCATGACGCGTAAAATTTATTTCAATTTTAATATTTGATAATTCAGCTATTTCAATTTCACGTTGTATCAAGCTTAATAGCAGATATTTATTTAATACTTGATCTGATTATAAAATAATACGACGTAAATGTGACAGTAAAACGCCGAAAGCGGGTAGAAAAATTAATAGCTCTTGATGAGAGTTTCTTCGGATGAATGGATTGTACCAAGATGGCTTGAACGGCAGCTGCACGATTTTCTATGTTTCGCCAGGTGCACTTGGCTTGTTAATCGACAAAAAGCGATGGCCTGCCAAGTTTGCGTAAAGTGCATTATTATTTAGAAACATGATGTCACTAGAATCATTATGAATATGGAATCTCGTCGTTCAGGACGAGGAGGACGATGTGGCCTTTTTCGTTTCGATGGAGTCAATTTTAGATTGCTTTTAGCAACGAAAAAAATATTCTAAAAAAGATCGCAATCGCTCTCCTGTTTAGATCGATAAATAATAAAATTATTTACAGAATAAATAATTACATATAATAAATATCGTTTCTGCAAGTCAACAAATTTGATGAGCATCGATAATTGAATTATTTATCACACTTATTGTTAGACAATTTTTGACATATTTATAATAATTATACTATTTAAAAAAACAATAAAGCTAATTTATAAAATTTATATATATTTTGTATAAAAATATAAAGTCACATGCAATTAAATTAAATAAATGTGTGTGCGTTTGTGTGAGTACATATATATATATGCATAATGTTTACTAATTATAAACATTGTCTATGTTCAAATTACAATGTTAAAGAGATACCATGTTTTAATAACTAAACCACAGATATTCCAATTACGAAATCAACCACACACACGAGGTCGTTCTGACTTGTTTACCAAAATTAAATTTAATACTTGACGTCATGCTAATCGATGGCCAAATGTGAGTCGCAACCATGCATAATCATAAATTGGAGATCTTACGACTCTTTGAAGAGAATTTGTAAAATGCATACAAAGATGTAGCGTGATCTGTTTTTAATAATCCCATATAAAAACAAGTCACCATGATAGCTAGTCTTCTCGCGATTTTAATCGCAAAAGACTATTAATTATCGCCCACAAATAATATATATATAAATTAAAACGTTCTTTTTAAAATTATAATTTTTTTATTTGTGGGAGATAACAACTATTAATCTTCTGCGATTAAAATCACGAGTAGTATTATATATATATTAGAATTGCACGGCACACATTTAGTGCAACTTTATAAGTATATAATTATATTTTTCAATATATTTGTCATAATTATTGATAGATCCAAAATAATAATTTTTCACACAAATATAATCGCCAAATAAATAATAGACAAATAGCTAATAATCGAATTTCTGAAAACGAAACACAAAGGCGGCCAAATTTATTAGATTACCACGCGCAATAAATT